TCTTCTCTTTTGCTATGTCAGCTCTGATTAACACAAAATTAGCAAGAGATTCTGGGTCGGGGGCCTTTGCTTGGGGTTGTAAAATGTCTATTACTCTAGTCTGTAATTCATGTTTCTACTTGGCTTGTGCATGCACAAGCGCGAATGAAACCTATGCTTTCCCCTTACTCTCCACTCTGCCATATTCTGTAAGAAGTAAACCAATTCATGCCTAGAGTACACACAAACACACACCTTAATGCTATTGCCTTAGCTGATGGCATTTCTCAGCCTCTGAGGCTTTCCCTCTGCATACTTGTCAAAGGGATGCTCTAACCATAACTCAGAGTCTTTTCCTCTCATCTCTGGCACAGTGTTCCCAGTGAATTTCTTCAGCTTATGACAGCAAATGACCTAGACCAGTCATGTTGTACCCTGATTAAATCCCATGAGCAGGACCAAGGCCTTGGACCACTTCCAGCATACTGCCACCAACTTTCCATTTCTACAAAGGATTGTATCAATAATTTCTTCTTAATAAGTTATGAGTCTCTTGATGGGTTACAACCAGTTTCCAGTGATAATTTAATGGGAGAGTTTGTGTTTCATTTTTAGAGTTCCTTAAAGAGCTCACAAATATTGTGAAAACCTGTAATTCTGGCTATAGTATCCTACCCTGAAACAGCGTATTACATCATATCTATCATCCTTGATTCCCTTTTCTCTATTACTATTAATATCCCTCAACAAGTTCTATTAGTTCTGCTTCCAAATTATATTTTGAATGTACTCTAGAGCAATAGCTCCTAAAGGACTCCCAGCTTCCATGCTAGCCCCTCTATACTCCATGCTTCAGACCACAGCTAGAGTGATGTTTTTGGAACACCAATCAGGTAACCCTACTGCTTTAAATTATCCAGCGGTTTTCCATTGCAATTAGAATCCAGCCCTCTTCCCTTGGTCCTCAAAACCATGATCTGATCTGATCACCACCCCTCCTTTCACTCTGTACACCAGCCACAATGACATTTGTTCCATCCCTAAAACTTGCCAAGTTTTTGCATCTGTTGCAAAAGCCTTGGTTTTTGCATCTGTTGACCCCTCTACCAGGAATGTTCTTCCTGCAAATCATTTCATGTTTGTCTTCATAATTCTTTTCTCAAATATCGCCTCTTAGAGAAGACTTCCCTGGCCACCACACTAAAGGAGCCTCACATCTAGGTATTCTATCATATTGTCCCACCTCTTTTTCTTTCTTTTTTTGTTTCTAATAGGACTCTTCAGTATCTGAAGTTGATTAGTTTATGTTTGGAATCTCTCTCTCTCTCTCTCTCTCTCTCTCTCTCTCTCTCTCTCTCTCCAGAAACAGAAAGGCCTTGCTGTCCTTTCAGGATAGGGTGGGGAAAAGAAAAAACTATATCTCATTCTTTTATGATGAATCTATTATTATGAATGGCAGATTAATTAGGTTCTAGATCCAGTAACCTGGATGTGACTATAATTGGCCTTTGAATAACTACTTATACCAGAAAACAAAAATCAGTTTTTCCCTTTCAAGTAGAGATTCTGAAGACTTTTAGACTCTTAGAAGTCATATTGTTCTTAGTTTAAAACCAAGAATGAGTATAAAATAATACTCCCGGAGGCAATTCTACAGACACATTTGAACTAAATCATGTTCTCGAACCAAGTAAAATGACTCACAAGGGGACTGTTTCATTTGTACAACATTCACTTAGGTTACTTAGTTCTAAAATATTAAATCTATAAAATATTTCCGAGTATTCTCTGAAAGGGTATCTCCCAATTGTAAATTCTATTTTTAGCAGCCTTCAGTTCATTTATTGCGATTCCTTGGAATTAAATTATTTACCATAGAGTGTTCCCAACTTCCCACAGCATTTACCTGGGTCATAATTATCTATGTCTGGGTTTATGAATTCCTTGAGGACAAGGGACATTGTTGGAGGCCTCATCTTTGTTTTAAAGAACCCACAGTGTGGAGCTGCCCTTTGTAGCCAAGAGCTCTTCACCTGGCCAGCTCTCCTCTAGCTCAGGACAGGAAGTAAGAGACAAATACAGTCCTTGTTAAGAGAAGCATCTGAGCATGGGTGTCAAGTGGTGAAAGCTGCTACCCCTTGGCCATCCACACATGTTAATTGCTCCTGTATTTTAAACAGTTGTATTGTATAACCAGAGCAAAGTGTTCTGCTCCATGAAATCTGTTTGGCACCAGTCTATGGGGGTGGATGGCAAAGGTGGAGGCAACAGAAGGTGAGAGTTGGTGGATGGGGACAGAGAGAGAGAAATGGGCATAACGTACGGCAGTGGTTTACAACCCTACACAATCAAAACTAGAACATGGGGGAAAATCTGCATGTTGTCTTTATATATAATAATAAAATGCATTTCTACATATTCAATGAAAACAAAGCAGTTTGTTAATATCTTTTTGTTTGTTTAAGTATCTTTATTATGTCATGTTCTTGATGATCAAGAAAGTATACTGGAAATTGCTCCTTCACCAGGAAATTGCTAGTATCACTTCAGACCCACTTGTAAGAGCCTGGAATCTCTCTCTCTAAGGTCAGGACAAACAAAGATCATCTCTCTTGTTTTAGGGGCAAAAGTGAAAGTAGAACAAAAGTGAAAGAGTGAAGAATGGTGTTGATACCAATTAAACCAAATTAGATGGAGGAAGGAGAGTTATAACTGTACTTGCAAAGAACTCTTCGTTCAATTTTTTCCCTTAAACATTATATCATCAATTTAAAAAACTTCAGTGCGCACATGACTCACGTGGGGATGGTTTCGAAATGTAGACCCCCAGGACCACCCCCAGGAGAATTGGATTTAACAGGTCTGTGGCAGAGAACCGGGAATCTGTATTTAAACACCTATCCCAAGTCAACTGTGATGCAAGTGACCCTCAGAAACACTCTGAGAAATAGCACATCAGCAATGATGAGTTTTTAACCTCTAAAAATGAACAGATTAAGAGGAGTGTGAATGGGACATGGCGATACTGGAGATGATCAGGTGTCTAGTTCTATAGCTCTGGCTTCCCACTGCTCGTCTCATATCTCAGCACTCCTCCATCCACTTCACCCAAATCACAAAACACGAACAAGGTTTTGGGACTGATGCCCCCCTGGCTGTTAGATTTTCATATACTTTTTTGAATTGACAAAATCTCTTTTTTTCTAAACACATCCTGTTTTTCTATCTCCAGACGATATAAAAACATTAAGAAACTTGATAAACAGTATAGGAAAATGAATGGCTTCATTAAGAAACTTGATAAACAGTATAGGAAAATGAATGGAAACAGGTGGGTGAGATGAACAAAATCACAAATCCTCAGATTAGTAATATGTAAATCACTGAGGAGAAAGCTGAGTAAATACCTTCCATTCCCATCAACAACTTCAGAGAAAGGCAAATTCCATTCACCTCCTGCCTTGCCTGCTGATCGTTATGTAGACCTTGAACATTGCTTTGGTAAAACAAATAAACAAGCAACTAAACATCCCCCCCACCGCCCCCAGTTTTAAAAATTATTCATGCATCATAGAGGCCATCTAAGAGGATATCACTTATTCCTGCCTACTCAGTAAATTATTTGCTCAGGAAAACTCAGCTAGTTAGTGGTAGGTGGCTCTAGAGCCAGCTTTTTCCCACGTGATGGTCATGACCCCACTAGCAGGTCTTGAAATCTATGTCCTGGGTCTTGAGTGTCATTTTTAGAAACATGAAACTGGTTAAATAGAAAATATCACAGGGAATAAAGTTGAGAAAACGCGGCTCTATTTCACCATGTGGCCTCAAAAAGAGATTTGAGCTAATCTCCAAGTCTATTACAATTTTATTGAGGCTAAAGAGAACTTCACACTCCCCATCAGATTGTAAAGGCAGTATCATCTTCTGTATTTTTCCAAGTTAAAAAATAAAAATATGTGATATTCTAAGAATGTGAAAATTCTTACTTGGGAAGCAAATGCCATATCCAAGACAACTGACAGCTCAATATTCATTCATTATGCAGTAATTTGAATTGCAGTTAAGATGAATAAACAGGAAAAGCAAACAATGAAGAGTCCAATATATCAATTTAAAATTAAAAAGAAAGAAGAGAGGGAGAGTGAGACTGCGCTAGAGAGCGAGAGAACGAAAGAGCAAGAGAGCCACACCTAGAAGTTCAGTAGTGGGGAATGCTTGACACAATCCTGCCGCCGCCTCAGTATGAGTCACATGGTTTCAGCTTGGGCTCAACCATTGATCCGGAGTTACCAGAGGATTTTCTTAACCCTCACCTGTGCTTCCTCCACGTGGATCTCCAGGACGGCAGGATAGCAGGGATCCAGAGCATTCTTAAAAGGTTTAAGTCCTGATGGGAAGTTATTTTAATGACAAAGCAATGGTAGTTTCACTATGTCGAGGAACTTTGAGGAAGTGACAAAGTCCACGTTTTAAAAATATGTTTCCTATCACACACACCTACTTTCTAGAATAAAAACCAAAGCCATATGGGCCTGTCATTTTACTTTCTATATTGTAGATTTATAGCAAGTTATCAGGATGATCCGTCATCTTGTAAAAGCTTTTATCAGAAAGAGGGGAAACCGCATGGCAGAATTTAGAGTGTGAATTCTGAAGGTAAAACCAACGTCTGAACTCTTTGCGATGATTTCGGAAGTTGGTTTGTTTTTAAACATTGTTTAAAACATCAGATACTGATATGTTTTAATCTTTGAAGCGTTTCTTTTGAAAAGCTGATTTACGGGAAGCAGGACTTAAGTTTCACTTTTGGTTTCACTTATCTAACTTTTTATTCCAAAAATGAAAAATCCGCTTGTTTTCCAGATTACAAGTTTAGCGGCAGCGTAAGAAAATCCAGTCGGGGGCGTGGGGTGCTGACCCGGGGGCGGATCTGTCTGGCAGGGGTGGGCGGAGAACTCATCCACGCTAGCTCTTTAGAGGCGGGCCGCCGCGGGTGGTCCTCGCAGTCCCGGGCGCAGTGCCGAAGCCTCCGCGCCAGCCGAGAGTCTCCCGCCCGCAGGTAGGGAGCGTTCTCGCTCACTGGCCAGCATCTTTGGCCATCTCGCTGGGCACTCTAAAACGGAACGTCAACAGACCCTTTCTTTGGGATGGAGAGCGGAGAAGGGAAGGGGAAAGCGTGATGGTTTGGGTGCAGTAGAGCCGATTAAGGTTAATAAGAACAAGTAACAAGTTTAGCCTTTAGCTAGGGGGATTCAGTTTTGCGTATCTTGTAAGTACATATATGTTCCTGCGCGTTCACGAATGTGGTCCTGAGGTGGGTAACCGGGTCTAGAGGGAAATTCCTGGGTTGGAGGTCGGGACACCTGGGTCCTAGTCCACCTTTAGCTGCTCACTAGCAGTCTGATCTGGGTAAGTCATCACACCTGCAGCATCTCCTAAGGTCCCTTCCTGCTGTAAGAACCAGGATACCCGAGCCCGAGTTCTTTGCTCTATCTGCTTTGAGGACTAAAGGAGTCCTGAAGGCGGAAGAGAGGAGCCTAAGGAAAAAAATGTTAAACATTTCTTAGCCACATTGAGCTTAGCCTATGTCAAAGTTCAGTTTGGGTTTGTCTTAAAACACAGGGGGTCTTCATGTATCATTGTTCCACCTTGTTTTGTGCACCTAATGTGGCTGATTTTCTATGGATTAAATTGCTTTCTAAAAATGTGATTTTTTTTTTAATGGCTACATTCCATGGTGCTGGATAACCAAACAAAATTAATCCCCCATGCTGGACATAAAGATTATTTACAGTGGTTCACTATTTTAGCCATTCACTGAACATCATTGCATATAAATATCTGGGACATTGTTGATTATTTCTTTCAGATTGACTATTACAAGTATAACTACTTAATCAAAGTCTGAATGTTTTAACAGCCTTTTGATACAAATTGAAAATTTCCTTCCAGAAAGGTTGTGTCAGTTCACATTGACAGTTGCCCAGCAGTTTTTAAGAACTGTGATACTCTAAAGAAAAAAATAGCCTTTTTTTCAGTGAAGTGCAGTAGGCAGAGGTTACAGGACAATAGTTAGAGTGTGGTCTTAAAGGAAGCCACAGAAATACTATTGGGAATTGAAGCGACACCTGGGAAATGTACAAGAATATCTCAGTGTGACTGAGGGGAAGGAGAAAGGACACAGGGTTTAGTCGAGTTTGATAGAGTTTTGTATTTCATAGAGGTTGAAATAGATCAACTCGATCTGTTAATTGGGTAGGTTTTCAGCTTACTTGGAGACACATTTTCGAACTCCAGGAATTTTTAAAAATCAAATCACATAGTACATATACATCAGGTAACAATCAAAGGAAACCCTGAACTAACAGATATGAAGACGCTCCTTGCTTATACTTTTGAGAAAGAAAGCTTGAGTTCTTTTCCCTGTCTCTTCATCCTACCCATCCTACCTTAGCGAGCTAGAGAAGTCGTATCAGCTCCCTAGTGTTATACCGGGTTCCCCCAGGGACAAACCTGCTTCCCCATCCTGAATGAACCATCGCTTCTTCCCTAGTTCACGTTTTCCTTGCTCTTTGAATGTCTCAGTTCTTGTCTGGGAATTCAGATATACTGTCAGAGTTTCTTCCCTGAAGAAGATGTCAGTGTTCTCAGACCAACTGCCCTAATGTGGAATTTAGAGGTCAAAGACCATGTCTGTTTACATGGTCCCTATCTATCTATCTACCTATCTTCCCTCCACTAACAACAACTGCACTCCAAGGGAATGGAGCCTTGGAAGAGGAGCTATAATGAGGAATTAGGTAAATATCAGATCTAATCCCTCACCTTCCAGTAAACTTCTATTACCTCTAAAATTTTCAACTAAATTCGTTAAGGGGTAGGAACTCCACCAGGGTATGCCATAAACATTGGAAAAGTTAGTTGAAATCCATGAGTGGATTTAATGCCCCTCTGTTTTATTCAGTTCTTTGCTTGGAGTTAGGGGCATCTTAAGTTTTCTTCTGCCCAGTAAATGTATTTGTGTTTATTATATCACATTAGTATTTTATAATTGTGGTATAATCAACTCTGGCCCAAGTAAAGGATAGGCAGATAGCTGCTGCAGCCTCATTTCAGCAACCTTTGTGTTCTCACAGTCCTGGCTGCCATCCCCGTTTCCCATGTACAGGGCAGACAGAAAGGAGTGAAATAAGAATTATGCACCTAACACTAGCAGGAGGATGATGATGATTTGTTTTATTTTACTGTTTTTGTATGTGTATATCTATATGAACATGAAGGATTCATACAGATTGATAAGAAACCAGTAAGATAAACAGGCCAAAAAATGATCAGATAATTCACAAAAGAACTAAAACAATCAACAAACTTCAAGTTGTACTTTGTAATTAAATTAGAAAAAATATATATTTTAAACAATACCAAGTGCTAGGTGAAGACCCAATGTAACTGGCACCAATTATCCACATGTATCAAGAACCAGGAAAATGTTCTTTGTCCTTGATCAACAGTTCCGCTTGAGGAAAATCTGTCCTCAGGGCCTAGCTTGGGACCTGGTACACAGTAGACACTTAACAAATATTTGCTGAATACACAAATACTTATATTTTTAAAACTGGAAACAATCCTTACCTAACAACAGGGAAACTAAACATTACGGGACCACTAAACAAGATACTTATAAATATAATGCAGTAAAATGGAAATTATTTGTCAAAATATTAAATGAAAAAATGGGTGTTATGTGTATAATTGTTCTTAAAAGCTTCATGGGGAAAAGACTGGAACAAAAATATATACCGAAATGCTCACAGTGGTTGCAAGGTTTCTCAGCCTTGGCACTGTTGACATTTTGGGACAGAGAGTTCTTTGCTGTGGGGGCCGTCCTGTGCATTGTAGGAGGTTTAGCAGGCATCCCTGGCCTCTACTCACTAGATAGTAGCAACCCTCTCTCCACCCCATTTTGACAACTAAAGATGTTTCCAGGCATTACCAAATGCTCCCTGGGTTAAGTGATGGAATAGTGTGTGACTTTCCCCTTCTTTTCTTATTTGCCATAATGTGGTAATATTATTTTGATAATGAAGAAAAACAGAAAAATAAACACATGCCATTATTCTACCTCAACTCTGATGTTTGGGGTTCTGGGGTTCTTTCCATTATACTACTCCATCTGCCAAACTCTCTGCAGCTTGGCAAGATGAAACGTTCATTAAATTTTGATTTTATTTTTTTCTAATAAAAATAAAACATATTCATTGGTTTGAAAATCTGGACACAGGAAAACACCAAAGAAGTCATTCACAATCTCATCTCCCTTTTCTTCTTTTTCTCCCATCCTTTCTTCCTTTTGAAACTCTAAAGAGATAAATACCTGACTATTCTTCCTTTAATTTCGTTCCTAGATATAATCACTGTCAGCATCTTGGTATGGATTTTTCTGTAAATTTCCATGTCTAAATATACACACACAGATTATTTCTTTTTTAAACAAAAGTGGATTTCTGCTACATATACTGTTCTGCAACTTACTTTCTACATCTTTACAAAGTTAATACATCTACATGTATTCTTTCCTTAATGGTATTACATTATATGGACGTACCAAAATTTATTTAACCGTTTAGGCTATCTAGGGTATTCCCAGTTTGGGGCTGGTATTAGCAATGCTAATCCTTTGGCGTCTATTGTTACATGCATATGTTTTTGTTTTTGTAAGATACATTTCTCAGAGAGGAAGTGAAAGCTAATATGACATATGCATTTAAGATTTTAATGGAGATTACCAAATTGCCCTTCCAAAAAAGGTTATACAACTTCACATTCCTACCATTAGAAACCCATTTGTTCATATCCTCAGAAATGCTAAATATTAGGAAACTTTATAATTTTGATCAAGCTAATAAGTGAAAAATGATGTCTCATGTCTTAAACTATTATTTTTTTCTTTATTGGTAAAATTGAGCATCGTTTCCTATGTTTAGATGTCATTTGTATTTCTTATTCTCTGAACTGTATATTAGAACCTTTGGCTTATTTTCCTGTTGGGTTGTGTGTACTTTTCTTATTGATTTTTAGGAGCTATGCATGACATAATCTTCTGCCTTACATATGTGTAACAATGATTAATTGATCAGTTGTGAGTTTTTGTACGTATACAAAGGTTGAAGAGACCCTAAGGCAGAAAACTGGCTTTCTTCTCGAAATGTAAATATATGTATTACATGAGAGAGAAAATACGTTAATAAATAAACAGATTTGCTGAACTATAGAACAAATCTTCTCTATTTACTCCTCTACTGGAATATATGCTCCTAGAGGAGAGTGACTTTTCTTTCCTGTTCACTGCTGTATCCCTAATGCCTAAATTAGTGCCTGGCACAGAAAAGCTACTCAATCAATGTTTGCTGAATCAAAGAATTGGTAGAATTTCAAGCAGGATGACACAATGAAGTGTAGAATCTAGGCAGATACCCCTGAAAGAGGGCTGTGAGTGAGTCACATCTTAATGTGAAGTTGTTGAATCCAACTGTTTCTCCTTCTCACTCCCCCTACTACTAGTGGAATCAGTTTATTGAGGGAATGGAATTTATAATTTGGGATAAGCAAAGGACGAAAGAGGAGATTTTAGAAGGATGGAACCTGAGGGAGAACTGGCGTGGTTGGGATAATAATGTGGAAGGCTTGAATAGTTAAAGGGTAGGATGAAAGCTGCTAGTGGGGTGAAAAGGCATTGAAAGGTGGGAGATAATGGAAGTCAGATTCTCCTTGCTTTGAAATTTTGTATAGGGCAGGCTTGGATTTCTAGATATGTTACACTGCAGGAAAAAAAAAGTAATTGAGAGGATTTTGGTGCAATATTTTCTTCTTGGTTTCTTTTGAGTGTACAAGTTTTTTTACAGGCCTTGTAATTAGGATTCTCATCATAGTACCTTTTTTTTTTTCATTTAGCTTTATGTGGCTGTGGGATATTAAGTGAAGGTATTGAACTTCTAAATTCCCTGCTGTATTTCAGCCCTTACAAATCAGTCATTGTCTGGTTATCAAAAGACAATTTCAATTAAAACTGCCAAGTCCCATAATGTCTGGGTATTCAATTATTTAGTAAAGCAGTTTTCTTTTTGTGTTTTCCATAATTAGGTCATTCCAGAAAGATGAGGATATACAGTATCTTTACATTCATGGCTTACTGTTGTTTGCTGAAAGGTAAGACACCAAATCCTTTCTTTAGGTTCTATAATTTAAATATTTTAACTATAAGATAAAAACTGAAATAATAAAATAGATATAATTTTTGTAGAGAAGACATTCTATTTTTCCTTCATTATAATTCATAAACATATTTCATAAACCTATTTCAATGGACAAAGATATAGGGAGTATGGACACATCTAAAGAAACAAAATTAACCCATATCCATTTATCCATTACTCATTATCCATTATCCATTTCCCAAGAGTAATTACTTAAAATATCTGAGGAAATGGCCTATGTGTATACTTTTATATGCTTGTTTTAAACAAGGGCAGGATCATTCTATCCACCTTGCTCTATGACCTGCTTTTCCCAGTGAGTATATTCTAAGGAAGAATTATAGTGTACATGCAGTGTCAGGGTAACACAGTACTGGCATCAGCCTGAGACCCTCCCTAAATCTCTGTACTCATCTACCTCTGGCCAGACAACTGATTAAGAGTTTTGGGCAGTATGTAGAGAGGACTATTGGAATCTATGATTTAGACTATGTAAAAGGCAATGAGTGTCCAGTCAAAGGACATTCTGGGGATGTCCACATGAAACAAAGTATCCCTGGTTATAAGCACCCCATTACCATATGATATTTCTACAGTAGTATATGTTTATGAATTTTGGGACTACAACTTGTTTAGCTAATTTTATTATTTTAACTCAGGAGTGAGATATACATCCTAAAACATGTCTCAAGCTCACCGGATAAAATATGTATTTCAGGGAAGTAAGTCCTTAAATGTAATTATCACATAAGTGATCAGATAAAGCTTTTATAAACCCTGCACTCATTCTATAAATTTTTTGAGGAATTTTCCGTCTTCTAAAGATTGGTCATCTTTCTTTTCAGCATTTACTATCACAGTTCCCAAGGACCTGTATGTGGTAGAGTATGGCAGCAATGTGACATTGGAATGCAGATTTCCAGTAGACAAACAATTAAACCTGTTGGCATTAGTTGTTTACTGGGAAATGGAGGATAAGAAAATTATTCAGTTTGTGAATGGGGAGGAAGACCTGAATGTTCAGCACAGTAGCTACAACCAGAGGGCCCTGCTGTTGAAGGACCAGCTCTCCTTGGGAAAGGCCGCACTTCAGATAACAGATGTGAAATTGCAGGATGCAGGGATTTATTGCTGCTTGATCAGCTATGGCGGTGCCGACTACAAGCGGATTACTTTGAAAGTCAATGGTAAGGCCTATTACAGATAGACACAGCCTTTATTAAAACCATATCTCAATGTTGAGAACTTTTCGATCTTGGAAGTCCAGCCTCACTTTCCACAGCAGCAGTCTGTTCATTCATTCATTCACATACTCATCCAATGAGCATTGCTTGAGCACATCCTGTTTGATAGTCCCTGGAGATCTAGAGCCAAATGTGGCAGTCATGTTTCACAACACGTTCAGTTTTCCTAAAAATAAATTCCTAATCTTCACTTTTTTATTATTATAAAAGTAATATATATATATATATATATATATATTATATATATATATATATATATATATATATTCTTGCAAATAATTCGGAAACTGTGGAAGAGAATAAATGAACCACAAAAGTGTCTCTCCTCCCTTCACCACTATCTTCCATGGCATGCAAGGATAATAGTCACTATTTGTGTGTCCCTCCAAGAATTTTTAAATTCAATACCTATTTCTTAATTTTATGAGGTCTGCCAGCATTTTTTCTTTGAACCTCTCTATGTCAAATCCAAATAAATATATTAATGACAAACCCCATTGTAAGGTTCACATTCAAAAAGACTTGAAGTCAATCTATGAAGGCAAAAAATAATCATGTCAAGTATTGAATAAACTGTTCTTCCTCAGAGACAGTATAAACTATGCTCACTAGGCATACATTCATCTTAAAAATCTGTACCATTTTTATCTTGGAGTGTTGAAGAGGAACTGTGTCAAATTCCTGGGTACTGACCCATAAATATGACATCAGGTCACCTGGATTCAAAGTTTTGGGTTGCTTCTAGCTCAGTAAAGGAAAACACCTTAGCAGACCACCTCCGCTTTCACTGTTAAGATTCATAAAATTGAGAGCTGAAAGGATCCCAGGCAAGAGCAGCTATAACCCAAACACCCAAAGAACAGAAATCCCCTGAAAGGATCTTCTACTCACATACTTCCTACAATGATACCCCTGTCATTTGGACCTTCCTTCTGTAGCCTATTGTAATTACTTTCTGATATTGAGCTGAAATCTGCCATCTCTAGTCATAGTTTTGAGATTATCTGCTTGCTTCTTTTGTTTACATGGTGACCTTTTAATATGTGACTAGAATTAAATCATCATCCCTTGGTGTTTCTATTCCTGACCTAAGTACCATCAATCTGAATGTCAGGAATATAAATAGAAAAAGTTTACACTTATCATATAGGGGTAACTAATCATTATAAAGTCAAAATCAAAATTATATAGGAATTAGGAGAAATGCATCTGTTTTATGGTACATTGCTGGGTCTCTAATTCTGGCTCAATTAATGCTACTGTTGTCAAAATGTCACTTGTCTTGTGAGGTAGATTTAATTTAATTGTATCTTACCATATGCTTCTCCATAACAGATATTCATGAAAGCAAGCTGATGGGATCCCAAGTTGGGATTTTTAACTTTTCTTCAGTCCATCAGCAAATATCAGGCATACTATGTTTCAAGGCATTAAAGAAATTATCAAGACTTAGCTCCATGAACAGCCAGCATTGCTGGATCTAGGGTGGGGAAGAAGAGCATAAGCCTGGCAGTCGGTTAGAAGGAAGTATAGAGTATATGTCTCTGCTTCCAGAAGAAGAGTCTCTCATCAGTCTGTAGGGAGTATAATGCAGAGAGTGGAAAAGCTGTCCCTGTAGTGAAGAAGGGTGTTCTTCCAGGTTATCTGGGCTCTGTAATGTCCCTTGTGGATGTGTGATTTCCTTTGCTGTGGTTTGACACAGTGGGAAATCTCTTGGCACTGATGGTTTTTCCAAGGAGGGGTCCTTGATGGAGCAAAGCAGATGACCAACCAGATTTGAGGATGTGATTTGTTTGACCATTCCGTTTTGTACTATAAATTACTAATTTGGCATCCTAGTCCCAGTCCATCTAGTTGTTATTTGCACATAATGGTCTTGGAGGTCAAGTTGAGCTGCACTGAAAGCAAGTCAGCTACCAAGCTTCAGTTGCACTGAGGCGGTGTCACCAAAGAAGTGTGGTGGCCAGCTTGCATGAGCTTTACAACTCAGGGAAGTAGAACTCCTGAGTCACCTCCATATGCAAACGATTTCACAGTAACGCTGTCGGGCTTTGCTTCCCATCACTGCAAACATGTGGTAACACAGCTTCCCCATAGGGAGTTTACTCACCATGGGATTTTAAAGATGAAGCATTTCAAAACTGAAATTTGAAAGAGTTTAATTTTAGATTAACTCAATTATTATCACTTTGGTGTTATTGCACCTTTCATGTTTGTTTAAATACCAGACTCTCAGGCATCTTTCAGTTGAAAATGTTATTTTTCCTTAAACACTGAATCTAATAGCAGGGAAAATGAAGTGCCCATTTCTACTTTCAAGAACTTAAATGGGATGAGGCACTGAAAGAACAGAGTATGTATAGTTATCCTGATAAAGCCAATTTGTTCATATGGACCAAGGATTAACTGCTATCATTCTTCACCAACCGCATCTCTCCTCCAAATTCACCAACCAGCCTTGTTTAAGTTTTCCCTGTAGCATTAAATCCCCATCTAATATATCATGTAACATATCATATAAATGTACCTACATATTTTATTTTTTATCTCTCTCCTTCTTCTAGAATATATAGTCCACAAAGGCAGAGGTTTCATCTATTTTATTTATTACTGTATCCCTAGGACTTGGCATATAAGAGTAGTAGTGTGATAAGAACCCACAAAAATATATATGTTGAATGAATGAATGAATGGCATATTTCCTCAAATAGGATAAGCCTAAAAAATTTGAAACATGAAAAGGTTTGGATACATGAAAATTTATTTCCAAGACTGTTCATCAGGAACTGTCAGTACTTTCTAAAGAATACCACGTGAGTGCACTTTGCTAGTAGTAAGAAGAGGAAGAGCAGCTCTAGCAGTAAAAGCAGTAGTAATTAACACTTATATAGTACTTATATGCCAGGCCCTATCCTAAGCACTTTGCCTCTATTATCTCATTTAATCCTCAAGCGACTCTATGGAGTAGGAGCTTTATCATGTCTAAGATGCATGTTTTTCACATTTTACTATCTCTGAAATCTGAGTGTGTCTTTCAGTAGGTGACATCTTAAGAGTCAGTGATACGTGGTGATATTCTTTTCATTTCATGGGGGAGCAAACTGAGGTCCAAAGAAATTAAGTAATTTGCCAAGTTCATTAAACTATTAAGTGATGAAGCCAGGTTCTAAACTCAAGCAATCTGGCTCTGAAGTCTGTGCCCTTAACAACCAGGTTTATTTCCTGTATTTGTACCTCCAAAGTGTGTATTGAGTTGTATTTTTTTTTTTTGCGTTACGCGGGCCTCTCACTGTTGTGGCCTCTCCTGTTGCGGAGCACAGGCTCCGGACGTGCAGGCTCAGCGGCCATGGCTCACAGGCCCAGCCGCTCCGCGGCATGAGAGATCTTCCCGGACCAGGGGCATGAACCCATGTCCCCTGCATTGGCAGGCGGACTCTCAACCACTGCGCCACCAGGGAAGCCCTGAGTTGTATATTGACTTCAAAACTGTTAGCTTTTCGTTGTCTGGCTGTAATAGTTGCATTAGAACATGTGTACTCTAGATCTAGTAAACCAGGAGTCTGCAAATGTTTTTGATTACCTACCCCATCAGTAAAGCATGTTAAACTAATATATGTATGTGTGTGTTTATAAAGAATATACTTGTGCTAATATGTTATATCATCAGAAATTGACATTTTTAAAGGCAAAAGAAATTGAATACCACCAATTTCATATGGTTCAACATAACACCTTGCACATTCTATAAATGTACAAAAATAGAAATTTTAAAAAGATGAAATGAAAATTTAATAAACAATATTTTCAGTCTTACTAATTATGATGCTTCACTCTAATTAGCTAATATTTCAAGGCATAATATATCTTAGGTGAAATTTATCATTAACAAAAATGGATGGTCTTGGGCTTCCCTGGTGGCGCAGTGGTTGAGAGTCTGCCTGCCGATGCAAGGGACACGGGTTCGTGCCCTGGTCCGGGAGGATCCCACGTGCCGCGGAGCGGCTGGGCCTGTGAGCCATGGCCGCTGAGCCTGCGCGTCCGGAGCCTGTGCTCCGCAACGGGAGAGACCACAACAGTGAGAGGCTCGCGTACCGCAAAAAAAAAAAGGATGGTCTTGACAATCTTAAGGTTTTTTTAACCAATGCCTTGTCAGATCCAATTAGGTACTTGTTGTTTTACTTCATAAAGTCATGGTGAGAAGTATCACTCTTGCCATTTCCTTTTGGTTTTTGCTTGAATTATTGGTAATATCTTCAATCCTCAGTTTCTTTGTGGGAAACCTTTTAATTAGTTGTTCATTTTGTAAGCAGGTTAGTTTAGTTAAAATTAGATGAGAGGGACTTCCCTAGTGGTCCGGTGGCTAAGACTCTGCACTCCCAGCGCAGGGGGCCCAGGTTCGATCCCTGGTCAGAGAACTAGATCCCGTATGTCGCAACTAAGACCCGACACAGCTAAATAAATAAATATTTTAAAAGAAATTATATGAGAGAACCTGAATATCTATAATAATCCCAAACAAGTCACTGTCCTCCCTTAGGTGTTATAAAACTCCCCTATTCCTTTAAGACAAAGTGAGGCCCAGTGTCAATCAGTAAATCTCATTAAGCTTAGATTATTTCTTATTGTTATGATAAAAATACATATAAGTGGAGGTTCTAATATTTTCTTCTTAAACCCAAATACATGTGCTCCACTTGAGAGACTAATAAAATGGGTATTTAATCAGTGAGTAGAATGAATCCGCTAATTTGTTGGGCCGTTAACAGTACAGTACATTTATACATATGCCCAGGCATGAAACAACATTCTCCTTGATTCTTATTCCATTAAAAATAATAATCAAAGGGTAAAAAAGCAAACATTTTACCCTTAAGGTTTACTATTCACTCTGATTTTAGGCTTGGAATTTTAATTGTCCAAAAATCAAGCTATGTGCTATATGAATTAGAACCTGTTATGGTAATATTATTTCATGAGGTATAATCAGTGGATTCCTTTTTTAAAGAATGCTTAAATATAATAGATAAAGATTGAGGATTCAAGTACTCATGAGAACCATTATTTATGTTTTGAAATTGTAATTATGTTGATTTCCAATGTTTTCATTGAACATAATATCATTATTTCAGTTTTGTTTGATCCTGGCTGTATTGTATTAAATCTCTGTGAATATATCATATCACAAAGCCATTGTTGTGTCTTTAGTAAAGGAATGGAGAATTAAGGCTCTAGGTGGACCATTAGTGGTTACACTAAAATATTAGGAGTAAAATAAAAATTATGCCAACAGAATAATAACATGTTAACATACTTATCATGAATAAACATGAAAAAGTTCTTAGGCATTGTAAATGCACTAAATAATCTACTAGAATATTTAGTACATCGGGTATCTTAATCCTAAAAGGGTCCCAAACTTATGATCTAAAATTTAATCAAAGTTTCTTCCTTGAGTATAATTAAATGATTTATTAAAATAACTGGCATAAAAAGTTTAAAAAATAAGTATCATAATATGGTATTCTAGATGAGATCCTAGAACAGAAAAAAGACATTAGGGAAAACTAGTGAAATGGAACAAAGTATAAAGTTTAGTTAATAGTACTATACTAATGTTGGTTCCTTAGTTAGGATGAAAGTACCATGGTAATGTAAGATGGTAACAATAGGGGAAACTGGTAGAGAGGTATGTGGGCACTCTGTACTATCTTTGCAACTTTTCTGTAAATCTAAAACTATTGTAAAATTTTTTTAAATGCATTTAAACTTTAAAAATTATCATGCAGGGAACACGTATCCACTTTTACAATGACGTTATACTATTTTCATACCTAATTTCTTATCATTTACCTAAAATTGGAAAAGTGAATGGCCCATCAAAATGAGATTTTCTGTTTATTAAATAAAGTCTAAGAAAACAGTACTGAACAGCTAGAGATGTTCATGTTTATAAAGACAGCTTTACATCAACAAAGAGATAATAAATTTAAGAATTTGGCTCTTTGTAAAAACTATAAAACTTTACTGCGAAACATATAAAGACTTGAGTAAATGGACAAACATATTTTATATTTAGATAGAAAGACTACTGGTTTAAAGATGACAATTCTCTTTTAATTCATCTATACATTTATCAATACTTTGAGCCCAATAAAAATAGCAATATGTTTTTTATAGCAAGGTAGTTGTTCCTTTAAGCCCAAACTTGGCCCAAGTATGAGTGGAAGAGTTGAGGCAGAACTACCAGGCATTCCCCACTGCTGAAACGTCTGAACATTAAGCTTATTTCTCTGAGAACAGCCTGGATTGGTATTCTTTCTAAGGTAGACAAGACCAAGCCACATGTCTAGTTCTGTGCTAAGTGAAAGCCGTGCCTTCTTTTTGCTCATGACCTAGCTTCATACCGCAAAATCAACCAAACAATTTCTGTGGATCCAGTCACCTCTGAACATGAACTAATGTGTCAGGCTGAGGGTTACCCTGAGGCTGAAGTCATCTGGACAAGCAGTGACCACCGAGTCCTGAGTGGCAAAACCACCATCACCAGTTCCAAGAGGGAGGAGAAGCTTTTCAATGTGACCAGCACACTAAGAATCAACACAACAGCTAACGAGATTTTCTACTGCATTTTTCGGAGATTAGGTCATGAGGAAAACAGTACAGCTGAGTTGGTCATCCCAGGTAATATGAATGTCTCAATTAAAATGTGCCTAGTACTGTCCCTTGGTACCTAGCCTGATGCCTGCTCATTGTAAGCTTTCATTGTTTGTTGGATCAATGAATAACACTGTATTTACAAAATGCATCCTACTTGCTCACCTCCATCCGTCCAAGTCATATTGCTACTTAATAAACATGCAGCAAATATTTATTGAATATGTGGTACGTGCCAGGCACTGGGGACTCAGTTAACACTCTCCAGGAAGTAGATAATAAAACAGGCAATCTCATTTTATGTAGGACATGCTCTTGTGGCTGGGGGATCTAGGGCAGCACCTGAGAGGAAGACTCAACTCAGGCCAAGTTTCAGGAATCCAAATCTGAGCACATCAGAGCTGTTTCCTTCTTTCCAGGGTTTCTGTGGCAGGAAGCAAATGGAATGTACTTTCCTATCTTATTCCAAACGGGAGAGATCCTTCCTCCCCATCTGCGTCCTCCAAGGTAGTCTGCTTAGTGCATGAGATATAAGGTTGTGTGTCCCTGGGCAAGCAACTCGACTTCTTCTGTGTGTTTCACTTTTCTTATATAGTTATAACCTATTGGGCAACACCATCATAGGAATACATGAGCTATGGTGTATGAAAATAATTTGAGATGCTTGTTTGCGCAGAATCAACTATTTTATTTTTATCTCACTCTCCTATAGAAGTGGGTAAGGCAGGATACAGTCTGGTGAGAGGCTCAGACCTTTAGAGAAAGCGAGCCTTGAGAGCATGATGTTAATATTGGTTTGGCCAAAAAGTTCGTTCGGTTAGTGAATACGTTGTTCAATGAAGTTCTTCGTGAAAATGAAAAATGTGTCTTTTATTTTTACTTAAAAGCGAGTGAACTTTTTGGCCAACCCAATATAAACCTAGAGGTTTATATTGTCTGCTTCTCAGAGGCACTTCTCACCACTCTCTCCCCTACTAGATGTTGAAAGTAAAGCTTAGGTACTTCAGAGAAAACAAATAAAAAATTGAATAGAAAAGGTAAACAGTAGGAAAAGACAATCCAGGGTGGTCCTATGAACAAAAAGAACAAAAGAAGTTTAGAAAATTAAAGAGATGCTCTTACTAGGGTGTGAATCACTTTGGTAGGAGCTGCATTAGTATAATAGGTTCCTGCCATTTAAAAGCTATTTTATGATAACTTACTTGTGGGAAGACCTAGGGTTAACTCACCTAACTGCTCAGAATCTGTTTCCTCATCTGTAACCTGGGGATTTAAAAAATAAAAAATGGCACACCTAATTCATAAAGTTATTAACAGGCTTTGTAAACTGCAAGCTACTAGAGAAAAGCTGACTACAGCTTTAAAGCTTGAACTAGGTAGTCATGGATCATGGCTAATGGTGGGAGGTGGGAGTTAGGAGTCTCTGAGCATCATGTGCCGTAAGACCCCTTTTCTTCCTGCATGGGACTGGAGACAGGTTGGTGAGAGGTGCCAATGATTAGATGTCCCAAGATGTTCAAACTGTGGAGAAAGAAAAGATAGCAAACAATGGTCCCAATCATGGCCACAGATATGGGGAAGCAGGAGCTCTTTGACAATGCCAGTTGGCCTTCATGTTCCATCTTTGCCATGTGCAGTAGGCTGCTACCTTTTATATTAAGGAATGCAGGAAGTGAAATAATCAAGGCTACCATATAATATTGAGTTGCCACTCCCTGTGAAAAGCACTTTATAAACATTAGCCTCACAGAAATTTCATTATCATTTCCATTTTTTAGGCTGGTTAAAGGACTTACTGGAGATCTCAAAACTAGTGAATGGCAGCAGAACTTAACCCCAGGTTCATCTGTCCAAAGCTTGGGCTGCTTCCACTTTTCCATGCTGCTCCCATTTTCATATCTGAGGTATCTCACCATTCCAGCCACTCACTGGAAAGGAACTTATGGTATTTAAGAAAATTAACCTAATACTATCCTAAATTAAGCTTCAAAGATGGTTATTCTCTTGGCCCCTTCCAAAGAAGATTTTATCTTTAGTCAGTTTCTTTTTATTTTGTTTTGTTTTTCAGAACCATATCCAGATCCAGCAAAAAAGAGGACTCACTTGGTGATTCTGGGAGCTCTCCTGTTGTTCCTCAGTGTAACCCTGACAATCATCTTCTGTCTAAAAAGAGATGGTATTTCCTTTATTATAATAGTCTCCATTGGGGTTGAGGAGAAGTGTATGAGAGTCCTACTGTTGTCACAATGGCACTTAGTGGGCAGAGCCAGGAATGCTAAATCTCCTGTAATCTGCAGGACAGTCCCATGTAACAGGGAGCTTTTCTACCCAAAATGCTAGGGGTGCCCCCAGCAGGAAACAGTGATTTATCAAATGGTTTCCTATTAGCTTTCCCTTCCAGGGCCAACTTTCAGTTATGCAAAGTAGGTTTTTAGTTACTGTTCTGCAGTATCACTTTCATTGAAGGGCGGCAGTGAACACTTGTAGTAACCTTTCCAAGGGGGTGAGAATTGGATCATGGCTGCAAGCAAACCTGACTTGCCTCTGCAAGGTAGCACAAAGACACTCCACTGTTTGATAGCAATTATAGTGAAGCTGTGCAGGATTGCTGGGTGAAGATTGTGAGAGAAAGGTTGTGTATGGAGGTTGAAGAAGACCAAGTGTTAAACAATTTCTTTCCATCATGCAAATAACCATGGACTTACAGAAGAGAAAAAGCTAAATGCCTGTTGGTTTCAGTTCAATTTGTCTAGCATTAGTTGCACTGTTATATTGAGCTAGTTTCTGGGACCTTTAAATAATAAAAATAGTTCTTTATGGAGAGCAGTGATACTTTTACCATAGAGTAGTTTGCAAGATTTCTGGCTGAGGGTGTTATATAGATTTCAAAATAATTTTAATGTGTGCATTTCTCTATTTACCCAAGGGGGCAATTAAAACTCAGGAAAACGTGGCTATTCAAATAATTTCCTTTCATTTTAAGATGATTCAGAGCGAACATTTCCCCAGTACTTTGAGAAGTACACCAAAGGATCTGATGGTGATCTGTGTATAGAGTTATCTGATGACAAATAGGGAAGTGGAAAATGGAAGGGAATTCCAGTAGTCGTTGAGAAATTCCCTACAACCCCTTAAGAGGTGGGTGGATCTGGGAAAGTGGTGTAATTGAGAGAGTGGAGGTCAGCTTCTTCTAATGAACAAGTACATAACAGAACTGAGACAGCCAGAATATAAGGATCAAGTTTCAGTGATAGGAAGACCTGAGATGACTTTGATTTGTCCAAGGAAGTGGCTGTGGCCAACTTGCATTTCCATGTGAAAAATAATTAGTTGGCATTAGAAAGGACTAGAAGACGAGCGTATAATAAAGTGTCTCAGAATATGGTACATCTCTGGGGGAAGAATGGAAAATATAAGTATATACTCCTGAATAAAATTTAGAAAATTTTGAATTAATTAAAATGTTGAATTAACCTCAGGGGTTGGGACTCCTGGAATACGGAAGTCTACCAAATTTCCTAAGGGATTAAAAATGTTTCATAGGAACCTGGGATTTAAACTTGAATCACTGTGTGGGATGTAGAGTTGTGTTACATGGAAATAAAAAAATTTTTTTTTCAAGTGGGAGTGATGGATATGGGAAAGTGTGGCACCCGAGATATGAGCTCAAAGCAGCAAAATGGTAAGAATATTAGCAGGGATCGGAAGTTGAAGGGAAAGTAAACAAAAAGTTAAAGAACAAGGAGAAGGCTATCAGCCATAATCTCCCCTCATTTTACAGAATGCTGACTGTTGGAACTGCCAGCTCCTCTTTGCCTCACAACTCTGATATAAGAACTATTCCCACAGTCTGAGATTTAGGGATGGCAAAGGAGAGTAGAGGGATGGCTCTTTGAGGAGGTGGGGGAAGGAGGCAGCTTCTCTCTGTTAGGTTTCTATTGCTCTGCATCCTAACATCTCCCTGCAATAGGGGACCAAAGTGATTTATGTGGATGGGTGATAGATAGATAGATGGATGGATCGATGGATGGATAGATAGATAGATAGATAGGTAGGTAGGTAGGTAGATAAAACGTGTATCAGGCACTGTGTGTACTGCTTCATGTGCAGTACTTCAGTCTCCTCCCTCCACAAAATCAAAGAGAATTTATTTATTTATTATCCTAGGACAATACTAGGATTATTCCCATTTTATAGTAGAGAAAACAGAACGTCAAGAAGATAATATAAATTACCCAAGAACACAAATCTGGCAAAAATAAGGCGTTGGGGCCCACTAGCCTGACTATAGAACCTTACTCTTAACCTGTTCACTTAAATCCATTCCACAACAAATGTCTACATTTGTAGAAGTCCACAAAGACCTCACCCAGATGATTGAACTAAGAGGAAAGTTATATTAAGGTTTCTAATTCTTTTTAATGTAATTAGAAACCACACTTCACAATGACCCCAAGTTTAAAGTAGTCTAATTACCTTGGACAAGCTCAGGCATGTTTCGTTATGTAGTCCATAGCACTCATTTGTGTTGTAAAGCTAATTAATGAGTGTTGTTTGGAGCATCCTAGGGTGACAAAGCATCCCAGTTTGCCCAGGACTAAGGGTTTTCTCAGAACATGGGTCTTTCAGTTTCACAACCAGGACAGTTCCTGGCAAACCAGGATGGTTGGTTACACTTTATCATGTAAAGGGGGTTGGACATAAATATAATCTGCTTCTTTCTCTTATTGCAAGTTCATTATATCATCTAGCAAATATAACTTATGTTTCTCATTTTCACTCTCCAGATACACAATTTGAGGAGACGTAATCCGACGTTGAAACTTCTGATCTTAAAGCAGGGATTCTCAGCCTGTGGTTTGAGTTCGTCAGGGCTAGGCATGACCAGAGGCATGCAGTGGGCCAGTGGGCTGCAGATGATGTAGAACTTAAAAGGCCCAAGCTCTGAAAATGGAAGCTGAGAAAGAAGAAGAGAACAAAGGAAGAAGGAGTAAAAAAGGTAGCCTTAGCCTGGAAGCAAACCTTGGTACTTCAAAATGACTGGGAGACTCATCAATGCATATGAAAAGGAGAAAGGACACTTCTGAATGATAAATCTCCATGCAAATTATCCATCACTCATCCTAGGAAAACAGGTTGCGATTCCCTGATTTAATGGTCAGTTCCTGCAGAAGTGCCCTTTGCCTTCACTCAGTGTTGATTTGTCTTCTGGGTAATTGAGAGTCCCAGTGTTGCAACAGTACTTAAGTATGAGTTATTTTTATTTATTTTGAGTCTGTGGGGTCTTGTCATGTGAGTGTGGTTGTGAGTGATTTCTTTTGAAGATATGCTGTATTAGAAGTTAAAATTATGTCACCAGACCAAACTTACTGCTTGATGACTTGTGTGTGTCCAGCAAAATATAATATTTGTAACCCCCTGTAACTATCAGTACATAGGAACCATAGAGAACAAACCATTGGTTTGTATAGGATATTACCTTATTTAACCCATTGATACTTTGACTTGGATAATCTTATTCTCAGACCTCAAAGTAAGATACATTACCAAAATATGTTACGTTTAAGTATCAGCTTTACAAACTATGTGTACACATAATCTCATTTCATCCCTGTAGCAGCTGTGTTGTAGCAAGCACTATTATTCTACCCATTTCACAGCTGAGGGAGCAGAGATAAAATAACTTGCCCAAGACAATAAACAGCAGACCTCAGATATCCGAGACTGTCACCCACTGTCCTTTTATTTCTTTCTTTTAATTGAGGTGTAGTACAATGTTGTGCCGATCTCTGCTGTACAGCAAAGTAACTCAGTTATACACATTCTTTTTAACATTTTTTTAATTAAAAAAATTTTTTTACCCACTGTCCTTTTAGAATACAATTTACAGCTCTGTTTTACTTTAAGAAATTCATTCATTCAGTGAACATTTAGGAAGCGCCCTACCATGTCAATCACTGTGCCAGGCAGAGTATACAGATGTAAGCAAGATAAAGCACTTCCCCTCAAGGAGCTCATAGTATGATGGGGACAGCAGTAAGAAAACGTATTGCTACAACGTGGTGCATTATCATAGTATAAGGTGTTCGAGGAGAATGCTTGTATGAGGAGGAAAGTCTAGAAATGCTGCCGAAGGAGGGGACGCTCTGGGTAGCCAGCCAGTGTGTTCCTGGACAGTTGAAAATACTTAAACATTTTAATAATCAAAGCAATTTTAGTTTATGAGATGTCAAATTTTTTAAAACTGTGGAAAACAGCTCTGGAATTCCTTTTCTATCACTATATTTACCCGATTTGTTTGCCTTTGCCATGCAATTTGATGTTTATCTATATAGTGCCTAGTGTTGTCTAGCAGTTTTCTTCTTTATTTCAATGCAATTGAATTTTGAATTCATACTTTTTTATGATTCAAAATTCAAAAAGTCCAGTAGGAGACATTAAGAAGTCTCTATTCCATCCTCCTACTCATCTAGTTTCCCTTTCCAGAAGCAACAACACTTGTCTTTTGTTTATTTGTCTTCTAAAGATATTCTATGAACATATGTGGAAATGTTTGTAAAATGTTTATATATTTTTAGTTTTTGCTCTTTTTCACATAAGTGGTAATGCATTATGCGTCTGCTGTGCCATTTGCTATTTTTATTTAATATACTATGTCTTAGGTAGTAGACAGAACAAATTTGAAGTTCCCAGAGGCTGGGTACTATGTCTTGTTTGTTCTAGGTCATCTTTTCCATAGTCTCTTAGTATCTTTCATATGATGTGGTACATACTAAAGAGTTACTACATCTACATTTAGACAACCAGCATTTGTCGAGTACTTGCTCTATAACTGTATTTGGATTTGGTTTATTTTGTGTTTCTCAAAGAGAGAATGTGTTTCTCAAAGTGGATTTTCCAGGGTACATGGGGTCAACCTGGCCCTAAAGGACGACTTTATTGCTAAGTCTTTATGACAGAATCATGTCTGGAACTTGTTTTGTTTCTGTTTTCTCTTGAGTATAAACTTGAATTCGGGGCTTCCCTGGTGGCACAGTGGTTGAGAGTCCACCTGCCGATGCAGGGGACGCGGGTTCGTGCCCCGGTCCAGGAAGATCCCACATTCCGCGGAGCGGCTGGGCCCATGAGCCATGGCCGCTGAGCCTGTGCGTCCAGAGCCTGTACTCCACAACGGGAGAGGCCACAACAGTGAGAGGCCCGCGTACTGGAAAAAAACACTTGCAAAATTACATGTTCTTTTTGGAAATTCCAGTCAAGTACCTTGACCCTAGACCTTCATCTGTGCCAGAAAAGGCCTCTGATGCCTGTGAGCTGTGCCTGAACCCTTGAGTCCCACCAGTTCTCACCACTATATAGGCCTCCTAATACATTGCTTTCCAAAAGTTCAGATGCCCTCTCAGGAGGTCCCAGAGTATTTCTTCCCTCTTGGCCATTTATCTGGATCACTGACAAGGAAGACCGTCTTTGCTTTGCCACATGTCAAGGCTGAAGAAACAGAATCTCCAATAGAACTTTTCCTGTTATCTTTTTGTATATGATCATTTGCACAATATCCCTTGTTTGAGTGACAGTATCCTTTGTTTGTGTGAAGTACAAGTGAGGATTCTGGTTCAGCAAGACGTAAAGTCTATTTACTCCATTCCTAAATCTTAATGCCTTCTTGTGGTATGGGATTTGTAAGGCACTTTATCCCTTTGTCTTTTGTTTCATTGTAAATGATACAGGCAGAGATGATATCTAGTTCTGCAGTGGATTGTCACTGTTTACACCTGCATTAATTTAATAAAATATTCTTATTTATTTTGTTCTTCAGTGCACCCACATATCTATTTTCTTGTTTTCTACATGTTTTATAAGACCATTCCCAGTTCAACATCCCGATGGAGACAGTTACTTGTAATATCTTCAGCTACATTCCTAGTTCTTTTTTTCATAGCTTCTATGTTTACACAGCATACTCTTGCATTCTGTGTGATGAAAAAATATCAAAAGAATTTTTTAAAGAATGCATTGAAAATTTTCATCCTCTCTCACTTGATAGCTTCCTTTAGGACAATACCAAGAAAAGAGTCAAAATTGTGTTGTCCAAATTGAAGATCTGAGGGAAGGGAGATGGGAGAGGAGTGGTCTTCAAGAGAACTATAGGGAAATGAAGGGGCTTTCCTTTACGAGAGTACTCTTCTCAGATCAGTAGACATGGATGTGCAAGCCCATGCATACGAAGCTGGATGTATTTCAATCATGAGGTTCTGAAAAGGAAGTGAGAAACCTAGATTGAAGTCAAGTTGAGGATTAAGGCCTGGTTCAGGGTGGGACAGTAAGAAGATTTAATGTCAACTTATTTAATTACTTAGTCATCAGGCTTACTTTAAAGAGACTTTTGATCATTCCTCTAAACCAGACACTCTCAAAAGATAGTGATGACTATTTCTAAGAATATATGTCAGATTCTAGATGGTTCTAAAGAAAGAGTATCAGTATCTTTGTAGAAATGATGATGGTATAATGTTTATGCCACTTCTGGGCAATGAAAGCAATAAAAATGCATGGTTGGCATCAGTATATTTCACCTTTCTGATCAATCTTCCTGGCTGGCTTCGGTGGTCATGGTTCTGGATGGAATTTTGTGACACTGGAAGGGTCCATACTGTAGGAAAGTTAGCTTGAAAATGTACCATAAGCTGTCATTAAGCTTTTACTCCAATCCCTTTTACAAGCATGTGACTATCTGCCATAAGTGGACCAAATATATTTTTATCTAAATATTTTAGAAAATTATAGATTATTACTATTTTAAAACTTAGAATTCAAAATTAGCTTTTTCACTGTAGATATCCCTGATCAAATTTGTGAAGGTAGATACATGCCATTTTTATACTTTTTTCCTACTCCAGGCCCACAAAGTTTCAAGGGAATTAATACTACAAATCAAATTACCCCTATATAATTTAAATATTTCCAGGATTATTTATATTTTAAAAGAGGTTAAAGTTTGACCAAACCGAAGTAATTGTTAGTGGTGGGGTTTTATCATTAATAATTATAATAATTACCATTTATTGAGCATGTACTCTATGTCAGGCACTGGGATTACACACATTATCTCATTTAATATCATGGACTGGTGATAAAGTGTACCAAAAAAGTGCACCATGTTTACCTGGAGAGCTACCAAATCCGGAAAGTTAACGAAAACCAGAGCATTAAACAGGTGAAAATAAGTAACTGCATAATTACAGTGATATTATGGGAAGCTTTTATTTATTTATTTATTTGTTTGCGCCAGGTCTTAGTTGCGGCAGGCAAGCTCTTTAGTTGCAGCTTGCGGGCTCCTTAGTTGTGGCACATGGATCTCCTTAGTTGCGGCTCCAGAGCTCCTTAGTTGTGGCATGCGAACTCTTAGTTGTGGCATGCATGTGGGATCTAGTTCCCTGACCAGGGATTGAACCCGGGCCCCCTGCACTGGGAGCGTGAAGTCTTATCCACTGTGCCACCAGAGAAGTCCCAGGAAGGTTTGTTTTTTTTTTTAAGTAGAGTTTTTATTATAATTCTTGCTGATTACTTACTTAAATATTTTCCCTCAACAGAAAAATATAAAATGGCCATTTAAATGTTATATATATAAAACTATGACATTACTTTTGAATGGAGAGTAAGTTGTGGAACATTGGCTAAGATATACACTTCTCAGTTTCTTATTGTTGTGAAGCTATCGTATTTTGACTCCATTTTCTACCAATTTATGATCTGACTGCAGATATTATAACATAAAGATGCAGCTTGGGGGGCAGGAGTTCTGAATATGCATTTCTATTCAAGAAAATATTATCAGTAAACAGATCCCCAACCCCCCCCTTCCAGTCAATGTGACCTCTCTAGGAGATCTCTTTTTGTAGAAAATGAAAGTGGCTAATACAATCTCACCAAGGAGAGAGTCAAGCTGGGGAGATGGGCAGCAGCCTCGAGTGTGGAGTGAAATCTCATCCATGACCCCGGGATTTAATTCCTCATCAGAGCTTTTCAGTCCACATGGCAAACCAGGGGATGATCCAGAGGGGGATGGGAGGTCAAAAATGTTAAGAAGAGCTACCCACTGCAAGGATAGGCCTGAGGAAATAGGCAGCAGCATCCTGGTTGAAGGGGAGGTAAAAGGAGGTGAAGATCCACCCTGTCTCCAAACTTGCAATAATCTCTAGGCTGGAGACCAGCCAAAGGATCACACACTCTCACATTC